CTGCCACACCGAAAGATCATGCTTTATGTTACAATAAGACCCTCTAAGAGGCAGTTCCCATGTAATGACCTCTCATGCTGGGAAGAGTGAAGTGATGGAGAAGAAATGGCACATTGGCAACCGGAGAGATGCAGAAGGGCAGACTACAATTTTACATGGCAACTAAGAAGACCTGTAACCTCTGAAGTACAATTTAAACTCAAATCCACTGGGCTTAGAGGAACTAGGCTTCGAGCATCCCATTAGAGCTGAATTTGTGTGTAAAGTTCCTTATATTATTATTCCTAAATAGAGATATACAGCATTTCAGGAACAGTGACTAAGAAAACTAGCTAGTTGGAAGCTGCATCATCATTTTTCCCCAAGACCCATGTGCAACCCACATAGGACTTCATAACCATAAAGATGAGAACATAAGTGATTACTAGACTACACCTTACACTGCTTAAAAAGACAGCTTGCTGCTTAAACATTGCCTTCAGGCACGGTTCGCCAAAAGGACTTTTTCCAGCCAAGAAGCTGAATATACTGTAGGCACCCTTTAAATGCTTCTAGGACTGGAATACCTTAAAACAATGCCTGCCCCCAGCAATATGCCAAATAACAGGAATATTGGGTGGGGTTTTCCCCTTCTTTCCCTTTAAGGGCAAAATATTTTAAAACCTGGCAATTTGGAGAAACAGGTTAATCACAAAAAATGTTTTGTCAAAGGTGAAAGCCAACATCACCGTTGGAGTGCACCTATGAGCCTCAAAGTGCCTGAATGGGCAGTGAAATGCAGATATAAATATGTTCTTTTAATTTACATTTTCAAGATGTAAGTTTGCACAAAACATATAGGTCCACCCCTGTATGTGAAGCATTTCAGTTTGGATTATGGAACAAACATGCTTTAAACACCTTATGTCAACTAAAAGCAGGAAAATTTAAGTGCCAAAGCTGGTCATAGAATGATAGAACGGGTTTAGGTTGGAAGGGACCTTAAACACCATCTACTACCAACCCCCCTGGTCCATGACCTTAAATTAGGTTGCTTGCTCCTGCTCTCCAATGACAGCGTGGGTCTTCCTGCTGTTTGGTGGTGGTTTAACTTTACACACATATGAGAAAAAAAAAAGAAGAAAAAAGAAATCTTTGTTGCATGTCTCTGTATAAAAAGGCTTTGCAGCTGAACTCCCACATGGTTTCAGCACAATAAGCAGCATTTGATTATTAGGGATTTTAAAGCATAGCAGCTTTTAAGGGCTGATACAAAAAGAATCCAAGTTGTGGTGCTTTCAGTCTGCCAGGGGACTGAAGGGGAACAGGACTTGCTACAACATTATTAGATGCTGCCACTCACAGCTCACTACAAGAGACAGCTGTAGTAACACCTCTTCCATGAATGTCACCTGCAAAAACAGCTCTGCAGAGCATTCCACCCAAATCAACGTACCAGCAATTCCATTATCACTATTCAGCTGTGATTCTGAACACGGACTGATCTGTTTGTCTCATCTAAGTACCTACACACCCTGGAGCTACCTGGGGACTTTACTATAACTAGAGCTCTTAAGCTTCCTCTCTTGCAGGGCTTACTTGCAAGAGCAGCCTGCACATCTCCCTCACTTCTGTCCTGACTGGACAGGTCAACTGCAGTTAACTCAGCATACACTCAAGTTCTCAACTGCTCTGCTGTGCTCCTCCAGCACCCCAGAAGAGCTGTACCACCACTTGCTTTCACACAGCTCATACCCTAATCCTTTCAACATACTGATTAACTGACTTGCAATCCCAGAAGCTTTCCGAGTTCCCTTTCTAGAAACAGGCTGCACTTACATACTCACTTGGGGCTCTAGATGGTTCCTGAGTTTAAAAATCCAGCTCTGGCTGGACCCAGCTGAACGCAGGGGTTGTTAAAGCAGTTTTAAGTGCAAGGCTATTGCCACCTTTATTTTCACAATGGCACTTTAAAGGATAAAAGAGATTTGCATAAGTCCAAAAGGTTTATTAAGGTCCTTCCATTTTGTTTAGGCTTCTAAAGGAAGTACTCATTATTGTCCCTGCCCACAGCAGGGGAGTTGGAACTAGATGATCTTAAGGTCCCTTCCAACCCTAAGCATTCTATGATTCTATGAAATTAGTACTGTTTGCTGGGTAAAAACCTGGCTGTGTAGGCAGGCCCAAAGAGAGGTGCTGAAACGAGTTGATTCCAGTTGGTGGCCAGCCACTAGTGGTGTTCCCCAGGGCTCAGTACTGGGGCTGGTTCTGTTTAATATCTTCACTGATGATCTGGATGAGGGGATTGAGGGCACCCTCAGTAAATTCACAGATGACACCAAGTTGGATGGGAGTGTTGATCTACTGGAGGGTATGAAGCTCTGGGCAGGCTGAATCGATGGGGTAAGGTTAACTATGTGAGGTTCAACAAGGCTTTTGGAGGTCATTACTACTGAGGAATTACTTTGGTTCCAGACACATGGCATGAAATCTTAAACTAACCCCAGCAGAGACAAAGGTGCAGGTTTAAGTATCTGTGGTAGGCTGGGGATTAAGCAAACAGTAACAAAGGTGCAGCTACCTGGGCAAGACTGATAATGTCTCGATATTTTTAGGAAGATTAAACTTCAGTTGCAGGATGAGATGTTTCTGGGCAACGACCTCAAGTTTACTGAGGAATTCCAGAACCAGGATCTCCTGTTACTTGGTACAGGTGCTCACATTTGCTTGTGATACAGATTTAACAGCCTGACAATTACACTGAGAATAAACAAGTGATGCAACTGCTCAGCATCCACTGACTGATACCCAGCCTGACTCAAGCAGCAATGTGGGTCTTCCAGGTGACTCCCCCCAGTTTATATGCTGGGCATGACGTGCTGTGGTATGGAATAGCCCTTTGGCTAGCATGGGTCAGGTCTCCTCTCTCTGCTCCCTCCCAGTTTCTTGTGCCTCTCCTCACTGGCAGAGCATAAGACTGAAAAGTCCTTGATTCAGGGAACGTTCTGTATGTATTTTCACATGTAAGAAGGGAGAGGAAAGGAAAACATTTCCATTCCTGACAACCCCCAGGCACCCTGGTTCTCCTGGTGTTTTTAACACTTGGATTTTTATCCCTTTGGAGCGGAGGGAGAGGAGGAAAAGGAGAAAGAGTTCTAATTCACCTTGACTTCTCTTTGGCTTCAGCTGCTGAATATGCACAGAATCATTATGAGGAAAGAAAAATCTGTTTGTCTCCACTGAGACTCGAGCAGTGATATGACTGGAGGGGCAAAGGCACTGTCATGATGCATCACTACCCCGGAGGCACTGAAGTATCTCCATGTAGCTGCTCAGCCAGAAAAGCTACTCAGATTGCTGAAGTCCTTTCAATGAGCTGAGCCCAAGGCAATATTTTAGTAGGAAACTGCCTCTTTAAAAATTAAAAGGAGTTATTTTTGCATCATTTGACTTGGATTATTTTAAACATGTTCCATTATAGGTTACCTGTGTTGCCAGAAACATAATGAATTTGCAACTGATCCTCTTCAGTCTAATTCCTTAAAAATACAGACAGCTTTAGTGCGTAATTCCTTACACAGACATAGGACAGCCTGTAGTACATGTCCAAAATACTGCAAGGGTCAGTTCTGTTCTAGTACAGACAGGTAGTACATAACCTGCACAGACTGCCACAAGTGTGTCAACAGAAAATGACTCCTTATGTAGTCATGATTGTTGCCTATCTGAAATAACACAGAATTATTGAGAGGAACTTCTATTCATTTATGAAGTCTTGCCATGTCAAATCCCATCTACCCTTTGTGAGCCAGCTGAAGAGACGACCTAAAAGTCAAGTTACATTTAAGCCCAAGAGAAAGTCAGTATCTCTTTCTCACACTGTAGTGTAAGAGCTCAGTGGTGTGAAACCTGCTTCATTTTTCCCATTTGACCATCACTGTGACAGAGAAGGGCAGTGTCAGTGAGGAGATCTAGCAGTGACATGTTAGAAGCCATGCTGGTCCAAAGTGAGGAGCTGGAAGGAAGAGGAAAGGAGCAGAACCTCACTGGTGATGGCAGAGTGGTTTCTTGCACCCATCCTTTTCCAGAGTAAGTCTGTACATTCAGGCAGCATAAAAGAGAAAGCAAAAAAGCAGTTCTTCTCCTCTGTATCAGAAAAAGCTGCACAAACTCACACTGAGGATTCCTACATCACCATAAAAGCATCTTTTTCTAATCTTACTTACAGGTAAATGCTGAACTTACAAACTGAAACACACTCAGCCAGCACTGATGCTCCGCTTTCTGCTATGTAATGAAATACCTTTTCTTGTAGAACTATCTCTCATTTCACATGATTCTGTAAAGCAGCCTTTTATATTCCTTCTCCACATATGTGGTGTACACAACATAATGGATAGACTCACCAGAAGCAGATGACAACAGTAACACCTCCTTACCTTAACAAGAAGCATCTCCTCTGATACACTCTAATCACATTCATTAGTTTTCCCACCCAGCACAGGATGGCCAGTGATCATCCTGTAGCCTGCTGTGTGTTTTGTCTGAAGGCAGGGAGAGTGGCTGCGCTAGATAGATTATCATTGAGAGATTCAGTGAGAACACTACAAGATAAGACTTAATGGCTATATTCTGCTGAGCTTGCCAGGAAGTGGTGTGACTTTTGGAAAGGCAGAGAGGAATTAGCTGCAGTATTTAGGTATAAAAACTAAGAGACGTTTATCTCAAGAAAAAAGGAAAAGGAAAGAAAACAGGCCACGGAGATACAGCAGCTGAAAAAAGGGCAGGAATTGAACACCCAAGACAGGAGGAATGTATGGCTCTCATTTTGCAACAAATCTCTCTTTTTTTGAACTGGAAAACTTTCTCAGTGATAGCAGCAGACTATCTTGAAGATGCTTCTCTATTTTAATCAGGCTTCTTTTAGCACCTGCTGAAATCTCAGAGCTCAGGATTGGCTTAAACACAAACGAAAAGGGCCCTGTGGCATGTATTCCTTGACAACAATCTGTTCTCCTCACCTCATAGAGTGTAATGATGCCATTTGTCTCATTTGGAGGCTTCCACTGAACATAGATCTTCTCTTCAAAAGGTCCTCCCTGGATGGATTCCAAGGGAACAGGTCCAGGAACTACAGGGGAAAAAAAAACACCAGAAACCTGTGTGAGAAGCTCCCACAGCTCCAGCTGCACACACATCAGAAGACACCAATAGGCCACTAGACAGGAACTTCAGAGCTGAAAATAGCTAAATAGATACAATATAAAAAAACCCACAAAAACCCTCAAGGTTTGCAAAGGTTCTAACCATATGAGAGGCCTATTCTTAACTGCTGGTTCAAAGAGGAACACCCTCATCTAACCACTAAGTGATAAATAAAATCAGAATCCAGGAAAATATGAAGCTAATTTCAGCACATCCTTATTCAAGCGCAGCACAGCAGCAGCAGGGAATTAATGTGTCCTTCTCCTCCCACACAATAAAGCTCTATCCCCCTAAACAGCCAGATTGCACCTTGGCATAAAGATGCTACTGGGCTGCACACCTTTATCAATATGAAAGATTGATTTCCTCAGTAAAGTAACAATGCAAGATTTATACTTCATTATGGCTACAAGGCCAGCTAAAAAATCCACTTACTCAAGCAAAAGTTGAATGCTGTGGAAGATAACTAATAAATGCACTCCCAACCTGCCTGATGAAAACCCGTTCATTTTTCTGAAGGATCTGCCACCCTCTTATGTCCCCCTGGATGATAAAATGGGTGGCAAGAGCCACTTTCAACAGGAGAAACTTAGAACAGCAACTCCTCCCAGCTCTGGCAGAGGAAGAACTTCTTCTTTAACACATTAGACAGAATGGAGGCTTGTCATCTGTGAGAGTCCTTGAAATAGCTCAGATGGGATAATAACACTTTAAAGCTTTCCATCAGTACTTCCGGAAAACAGTTCTTTTCTATCCAGAATGGAAGAGTTAGCACTGGATGAATTTAGCTTCTGAGACATATATAAAATGCTACATCCAGAAGATCAGTATTAAGAAAAGCAAAGTCTGGAAAAGAAGATGCTGTACTTCTTTTTATGGGATAGTGACGTGAAGGCACAAGAAAAATCAACAAACACCAGGATAAAATTTGCTCATATCACAGAATCACAGAATGGTTTGGGTTGGAAAGGACCTTAAGATCATCTAGTTTCAACCCCATTGCCATGGAAAGGATGCTGCTCTGTGAGTCCTGTGTAGTTCAAAATGCTACCTCAAGGCCAGGCTGCATGTGGTTCTGGTCAACTTGAAGATGTCCCTGCTCATTGCAGGCTGTTGGACTAGATGAGCTTTGGAGGTCCCTTCCAACCCAAACTATTCTATGATTCTATAGAAGTAAAGCTACTGCTGTTTGGTAACTGCTCAGACTGGCATTTGTCATTCCCAAGCACCTTGGGGATCCATGGCCTTTCATTCCACAGCTGTGGAATGGGAATTATTTACACATACAAATATTACTTGCATAACACACACTATCCAGAGAATCCATTTATAAGTCTCATGGGGCAAGAGGGTTATGTTGTTACTTACAACTTGAGGATATTAAGTCTTCCCCCCAAAACAAGGAAACCCAACACAACTTACCATCCTCCTCGGTCTGCACAACCAGCTCCTCACTCTCCATTTTGCCCTCAGGGTTCGAGAGGGCCAACCTCAGCCTGATGGTCATGAAGGGCCGGAGACCTCGCAAGGTGTAGTGGGACGAGGTTTGGATGAGTTCCTCTGCCTCGAATTTTTGCTGGTTAAACACATACTGGTACTGGACAGTGAGATTGTAGCTGTGGCAGCGGGTCACAGCGTAGCCAAAAGGTTCCCATTGCAACGTCAGCTGCCGGGAGCGGATATCAACCACTTCCACGTTCTGTGGTCCATGGACAGGATCTGTGGAGCAAGCAAAGAGGAAAAAGACACATTAATTTGACATTAAAAGAAGTCAGCCATCCAATAATATGCTTCCTGTCAGCGTATTTAAGTAGTTCACAGTTCTGAATGTTCCTGTCTTTACAACGTGTAAGTGACAGGGAAATGAACGTCAGAGCCACAAATACATCCTGGCTCCTGAGTTTTCCCTGAAAACTCCCCTGTCACAGGGCCTTGAATCAGTGGTCATACTCCTGATTCCTGTGAAACCTCACTGAATCCAACAGTGGCAGCATAAGTCCATCAGTTAAGCGGTGTGAAAGTCACACTTACTTCTTTCTTAACTAAAAGGGCAACAAAAAACAACCAAAAAAGCCCCAAAACCAAAATAAAAAACCCTAACCCCCAGAAAAGTAGTTAATCTACTTGAAAGTGCCTAAATACCTTGATGAGTCCAGCCCAAGGTGATGCAGATACATGGAAATGGCTGCCAGAGGAGGTATGAACTCAAGTCTCAGCTTTCAACTTAGCTATGTAGCTCCTACATGCTCCTGCCTACCCTAAACCCATTCTGCTCAGAGACAAAAGCACAGGAGTGTAAGAACCAGGATTAGGAGCCTGTCAGACTTCCAACATCCCAGCGTACTGCCACCTCCATTTGCCAAACCCTTGGATGCTTTGGTGATGGCACATCTGAGCAGATCACGCTGCTCCTTGGGTACATTCTGAGTCATCTCCACCTCCTGCCAATAAAACTTTCCTTTCAGATCCTATCAACGCCTTGGCCCCACCAGCTCTTTATCATCCCTTCCACAGTATCTGACTGAGGTACAGTTGAATATTCATGTGGAGGAATCATTTTCACCTGCTGTTCCTTAACTTATTTTTAACAGCATAACTCAAATGTCCTTTATATAAAGCACAAATGCATGCGCCGCTAGACAGGGGGATATAGAAAATGAAGGATGAGTAAAACCAGTGTTTGAGATCTGTCAGATGGTAGCAATACTACCCATGTCATCGTTTGCTTATCTGACGTTTCTTCAACTTGCACAGCTCGTTCGCTTTTTGGCTCAGTGTATATCTAAGCAAGGGAATTAGAAAATACATCATTCGATGGAGATTTTCCTGATTTCCAGCACAATTCAGTGTTTCGCCCATTTTTGATGTTCTCTCGTGATTTCAGCCTATGAAAGGAACAGAACGTTTTCATGGGAACAAAAAACTTCACAAGGCCTCCTGAATGTTAATTATGCTTCTTGGAAAGATAACTGAAGTCAAAAAAAGCCTTCTCGTAATTCTTGAAACTAAAGCACCCACCACACTGACTTCAATCTACTAATACATAAGCAGAAAATATACTATAATAACCAGCATATTCTGTATTACTTCCAAGAAAACCCTAGTGAGTGGCAATGGGAAAATAGCTACTTCAAAAATGAATTCAGAATCTTTATATAGATGCAGCTACTTTTGAAACAGGATGGATATGAAAGGATCAGGGGGCTGAAGACAGCAACTGGCTTAGGATTCCGTATCAGCCACGTCAATTCCTTGGCATGTAGAAAACACATCTTAAATGAGATTCTTTAGTAGTGTGTGCGTCAAAATAATCATAATTTAGAAATTAGAAAGTTTGGATGCATCAGTATACACACAGGTACTTAGCATTAGGTGATCATCACTCATTTATTGTAAACCCAATGAAAGAACATTTCTATAAATGAATTGGGCAGGTAAATAAGGCGAAGAGAAGAATGACTGTGTGAAGTCTCAGCCTCTGAACCCATGCAGGTAAGCAGAAACCTCCTTCCAAGTTGTATCGAAAGGAAAAAAAGCCAAGAGCAAATGCAGATACTTGTCCTTCCAAACTCTACACAAAGTAATCCACTTCAGACCCCAACCCAGAACATGGCTGCGACAGGAAAAACATTTCATGCCAAGACAAGGATGCAGCTGAAGATGGCAATTAACCTCCAGGTTAATGCTACACTGTTCTTAAAATTACAGTTATTTTCTTTAAGTCAGTCATGTTATGAAATGAGTGGGTAACTTGAGGGTGTTTGGTTTATTGATGTCAGATGTGCTGACTTTATCAGTGGGTAAGGAACAACTATGATTCAGCACCATCTCACCAAGTCAGATGTCCAAAACCCAGACTATGGAAGAATATCTGCAGTTTTTAGCTTGCTTGCTCATCTCACATTTGCCCTTTCCTTTTTTACCCAAAACTGTAAGTCTTAGAAGCTGCCTTGCATCAATCAGTTGCTAATTCTACCCAAAATTTATTGTAAAAGATACATCCTGAGGCCTTTCTTGGGTTTTGCAACACAATCTTTTCAATAGAGTAACAAACCTATTCACCGCAGATGACTTTAGTTCCAAAGCCAGAAGCTAAAATGCAGATTACAACAGTAGACAATCACAGAACATGACACATTCTCCCAAGAACACTCTGTTCAATAATCCTAAAATGACAGATTTTTCAGTCCAGTGTAAAAATGAGATCAGGATGCTGTACAGGGCATAGTGAAAGCAGGCTGACAGAGGGGAGACTGAGATGAGCTCCGAGGCAGAAGGTCTTCCCTGTGAGGGTGCTGAGACACTGGCACAGGGTTGTCCAGAGAAGTTGTGGCTGCCCCATCCCTGGCAGTGTTCAAGGCCAGGTTGGACACAGGAGCTTGGAGCAACTTGGCAGGGGGTTGGAACTGGATGAGCATTAAGGTCCCTTCCAACACAAACCAGTCTGGGATTCTGTGAAGCTCTCCCAGGGATCTCCCAGCTGCTCTCTGTCCTTAGCCCAGGGAAGCAGATTTTTGACCCAACAATGATGTGCAATGTTCAGAGACTGCATTTTCTGCCATCACAATTTTACAGAGAAGTTGACTTTTATGGCTGGTTTTGCTTTTTTCCTTATTGTAACAGATCTCCTTTTGTCCACTGTAATCTTCTTGCTCATTGTGAAGTGAGAAAACCAAAGGGGGATTTAGATTAATAGTAACAACTGTCTTTGCTTTATACCCCTCCATCAAGAGAGGAACAGAGAGGAAAGGAAGCAATGGTGAAACCCTGGGGTTTGAACATGAAGCTCAAGTTGAGCAGTGAAGTTAAACAGAGACAATTGTTGCCCCCAGGTTAACTACCTGCTGCAGGAGCCTAATTGGAAAAAGTCATTGCTGTCACTAAAGACATGATATGGAGCAGAAGGTGCCCTTACTCGTCTGAGGCCTCATGCCCATTTCTCCCGACCTATGGAGAGCAGGAGGCAGTTTATTAGCAGTGCAGTTGTCCACTGGTTGAATTGGTTTTCCCAGCAGGTTACAGAGCCTGAGAATGCACAAAAGGAAGAAAAATGAGTGTGACAAGTGCTTTCTGTGAGTCCTCAACTGATGCTTTCCGATAAAGAAAGAGGAGGAAAATAGGTGTGATTCCTGCCTTCCCCTCGACACACCCTCACATGAACTCATCAGCCAGTCACTCCAACCAGAACAGACCAACACCCCAGTAAGGTCCCCATCCCATCTCAGTCTGCTCCTAGGCAGACTGGGAGAAGAAGAAGGACAAGACTGGGTGTGTTGGTAGTTGATAAGAAGATCAAAACTTGTGTTCTTCCAACTACCACCATGGTACATCCTGTCTCTGCAGCCCAGAAAATAGTGAATTCCATCTTCATTTACAAAATAAAAAATTGGTAGTATCATGGAATGGTTGAGGACTTCACAGAATATTTCAATCTGGTGATAAATCAAGACAGTGTCCACTTAATGAGAGAACAGCAGCAAAAGTCTTGGTGACGGTGAATTGGTGGTTCAGATGTTTCCCTTGTGTTTTTCAAATAAATTGCTCTTGTTCTACAGCTGGAAAACCAGTCATTTCACAGACTCACAGACTGGTTTGTGTTGAAGGGACCTTAAAGCTCATCCACGGGCAGGGACACCTTCCACTAGAGCAGGTTGCTCCAAGCCACTGTGTCCAACGTGGCCTTCAACACTGCCAGGGATGGGGCAGCCACAGCTTCTCTGGGCACCCTGTGCCAGCGCCTCAGCACCCTCACAGGGAAGAGCTTCTGCTCAAGAGCTCATCTCAATCTCCTCTCTGGCAGGGTGAGGCCATTCCCCTTGTCCTGTCCCTACATGTCCTCAGAAGATTTTTTACAATTCTTTATATTTTTTAAACAATCTGCCTGACAATGAATTTCCTCCAGGCTTTAGATTAGGGCTGAAACCTTCTCCATCTCACACTTTATTCCCTATTCCTTCTTTTCCTCCTCAAATTTCCACAGGGTGAAATAAGCCTAGGGAAACATACCTACTACCCAAACCCACAGCAAAATAAGCAAAGCAAAAGCATTCAAGGGGTTTGAATTAAATCCACAATTCTTGTGTGTGATAAAACCACTCCTCTAGAGTGCGTGTGGTTCACTGTCAGAGATCCTGACAGAGGAATTGTTCCATAACAACCCACTTCCTATGTCCTATACACAGACATTTCAGGATGACGGACAGCCCTGTCCATCCCTACAGTGCTGCATGTCTGTCACAGAGCTCCTTTGATGAGCATCACAATACACACACTCCTGCCCATCACATTTCAATGCTCCTGAATGTGCTAGAAATGCCTTTTCAGACATGACAGATAAAACCACTGATTAAGCAGAATTCACTGGTCCTTCACTACTGTAGACATGTTCTGGCTTTGCCTTTTTCTGCACAAATAACATCTCCCTAATATTTGGATCTCATTTTTAGTTCTTTAAACCAGTTCAACTCTCATCACTGGTCCAAAGACAGTGCAGATCAGGCTGAAAGCAGGCAATTAGTTGGAAAGGCATGTTCTGAGAGAAGCTGCAACAGAGAGGGAAAGGAAACTGATATAATATATCACTGCAGAACAAACAACCTGTTTGTTGAAATACCTGTAATCAACTAAATCATAAGTCACACACAAAGAAATAGGTGTCATTGCAGCTGATGAACTAAAATCATAGAATAGTTAGAATTGGAAAGGACCTTAAGATCATC